ATCAAATATAATATATTGTTTATTAAATAATTTAAATAATTTGATCAAATTAGGTTAGATTAAGTCAGGTCAGGTCAAATAAAAATTTAAATCAGATCAAATTTTTGTTTAACCTGACCTGATCCTCTCAGTTCAGGTAACTTGATTGACCCAACCTAAATCAACCTGTTCAAAACTCTAATGATAGTTATTTAATTTTGCCTGTTAGCGTGTATTCTTTTATAGCTTTATCTATCCATTAATTGTAAGCACAGCAAACTTATAACAAAAATAAAAAAAAATTAATAAAAATTTTTTTACACTAATATTACCTATAACACTTATATTAACCTTTGCTTTAAATGCTTTATTTAAAGACACATCTAATAGTTGCAAACGTGAAGTTAATCCATCTGGAATTACAGATATATCTGTATTTTTTTTACTAAAATAGCGTTTTACAGAATCTGTCCTATGAGCAGTAAATGAATCAAGAACAAGAAGAGAATGCGAATTTGAACTCAAATTAACTTATCAGCATCACACATTCTCTACCTACCAAATCATCTCTTTCTCATTTATCTAGCTACTTAGATTTGCATGAACATATACACTATCTGGAAACTTTTCTTATGATACATTAACTAACTTAAAAATAATAAATGAAGGAAGTTTAGTATCATCTGCAAGGCAAATAAGGGTTACTGTAAAATTGGTATATTTATGACCAGTTGTAAAAATTGAGACAGTTCATTTTCCACATTCTTCAATTGTTGTTTGACTGGCAAATTAAATGCCATCAGAGTTTCATCTATATTACTAATTAAATTTAAAGAATAGTTACATTCAGTTTGTCGATAAAGAATATATGATAAAAAATTTTGCTAATTCTCATTATATTCTTCAGATAATCTTTGCACAACTGTAGTACATCAGCAATTTACTAACAAATAATGAGACATAAATCTATCTACTCACTTATGTGTAAATTTACATTTATGAATATCAGGATACAAGATACAATATTCTTGTTTGCTAGCTAAATTACAGGCTCTTATACTGATCATGTATCTTGTTATTATTTTTAGTTGTCTTCATAACTCACAAAACTACTTCAAAAGTTCCTCTTCAAGTTGTAAATATTTTGGCCATGCATTAGTGTTAAGTTGTTAAACATATGGAGCTGCATACATTAAACCACTTTTTTTATTCTTTCAGTCACGAATCTGTTTTGGTTCAAATCCAAATTTATTTGCTATTGCTCAGGTATTATATCCATTTTTTTGATAAAACACAATCATTAGCTTTTCATGAGCATTTCATTATCGACGTTTTTTTGTGTATTTGTTACTCGTCATATACCAAAATTTCTCTTTAGCATTTTTAATAAAATACTAGAGATTATTGATAATTTTTTAGATCATTTATATTTTCGCATTTTTTTATATTATTGCGAATAAATAGGGACACAGAATCTGCTTAAAGAGAACATCACGGGCAGTAATTCAAAAAAGAAGTATTAATTTCTACTTCTAGAAATTTTTCATTACTCTGTAATCAAATTTCTAAATTAAAAGCCTTATTTGTTCAATTCACAAGTGTTTCATCATCAATTTTATAGATTATTCAAGCTTTTCCATCAATTTTTTAAGTCAGAAATGCAATAACACAATTACATTTTTTTTTAATTTGATCTATATATATATAATAGATTAGATTTGTGTAACTGCTACCGATACATAAGACCGCCCATATACAATACCCCCCCGCATAGAATATCCCCCAAAATAGTACCCGGTTCCTTACACAGTACCCACGGGTATTATTCAATTTAAAAAATCGAATTCTTGAATAAGACCCCGGGTACTGTATGCAGTGGCCAACGGTAATATTATAAGAATATAATTTAAATAATAACGTAAGTCAATTACCCCAGTATCGGCAACACTTTTTTCATCCCCACGTGATTTTTGGCCGGCATTACTGAACTTGGTCTAAATTATACGGGTGACAAATAAGGTGACAAATAGAATATTTTACACGGGTAAGTCCTAGATCATCCGAAAATTTTATAAATTTACCTTTTTCATTGCATTTTTGTTCAAGCTTCAGATCATCATGGCTCGTTATTGTCATTTATCATATACATTTACAAAAGCTAATAATTTTACTTATTCGCTTACTCGTAATGCTTTAACAACACACACTTATTTTATTAATTCTAATGCTCCATTTACTATTTATAATCGTCGTTTGTCTTCAAATACAGGTATACTATTTATTATTTAATTCATTTATTTAAAATTAAATTTTGATTATATAAACTTTTAGGAGTACGTAAACCTTTATTTGACAAGGTTTTAATTGCAAACCGGTACGGTAATATATATATACTACTTTTTTTTTTTTAAAAAAAAAAAAAATTTATTTTATATAACTATGATTTTTTTAGTGGCGAAATTGCTTGTCGTGTAATGCAAACTGCTAAGAAATTAGGCATAAAGACAGTAGCAGTTTACAGTGAAGCCGATAGACATGCTTTACATGTAAAAATGGCAAGTATATCAATAATTCCAATTTTTGAATATTTTAATAAAATTCAAACTTACACTCATTCATTTTAAGGCAGATGAGGCATATTTAATAGGTTCTGCTCCATCAGCAGATAGTTATTTGAATATCAATAAAATCATTTCTGTTGCCAAACTGAGCAACTCCCAGGTATGCTTAATCCATTTCGACTCATTTTATTATTTTGTCGATTATTAATTTTTTTTTTGTTTTCTAGGCTATTCATCCCGGATACGGATTTTTATCTGAAAATCCGGTTTTTGCTGATCTCTTAGCAAAAGAGAAAATAACTTTTATTGGTCCTCCAGCATCTGCAATGGTTTCGATGGGCTCTAAAAGGTTGTACTTTGTGATGAAAATATTAGCTTGTGACTTATTTTACACGTTGTTCTATGTTTTTCTAGTGAGTCAAAAGACATTATGATTGCTTCCAATATTCCCGTTGTTCCAGGATATCATGGCAAAAATCAAGATCCTCAATTTTTAAAACAAAAAGCTTCGGAAATTGGGTATCCCATATTGATCAAAGCAATTAAGGGTGGTGGTGGCAAAGGAATGCGAATTGTAAATAATCCATCAGAATTTGACATTCAACTCGAGTCGTCCAAAAGTGAATCGATGAAATCTTTTGGAGATGATCAAGTGCTCATTGAAAAATATCTTTTAACTCCTCGTCACGTTGAAGTACAAATCTTCGCTGATAAACAAGGAAATGTAGTTCATCTTTTTGAGAGAGATTGCTCTGTTCAAAGAAGACATCAAAAAATTTTGGAAGAAGCACCGGCTCCAGGATTAGATGATAAAATAAGAGAAGATCTTGGTGCAAAAGCTGTTGCGGCAGCTAAAGCTGTAAATTATGTCGGCGCTGGTACTGTAGAATTTATTATGGATAATTTAGATAAGAAATTTTATTTCATGGAGATGAATACAAGATTACAGGTTGAACATCCTGTTACAGAAATGGTTACCTCTACAGATTTAGTTCAATGGCAATTAGAAGTAAGTTATAAATATATTAATTAAAGATTACTTTAATCTTTTAAACTTCAAATTGACCTCTTTTAGGTTGCTTCAGGTAATCCACTACCTGTTACGCAAAATCAGCTAAAGCTTGAAGGTCACGCTTTTGAAGCGCGTATTTATGCAGAAAATCCTGCGAATGATTTCTTTCCTGATATTGGTCCTTTACTTCATCTTCGAACGCCATCACCATCATCAAATGTTCGAATTGAAACTGGATTTGAACAAGGTGATGAAATTAGTGTTCATTATGATCCTATGATAGCCAAATTAGTTGTAAAAGGTCAAGATCGTACGGAGGCGCTAAGAATTTTGAAGAATGCTTTAAACGAATATGAGGTATATATTCAATTAACTCTATCTGTAGACTCTGAATTTTGTTATTAAAAATAACGTCGTTATAATATTTCATTAGGTGGTTGGTTTACATACCAATATTGAATTTTTAAAAAGTGTTGTCTCACACAATGCTTTTATTAATGGAGAAGTTGAAACTGACTTTATAGCAGTAAAAATCAATTTTTTTAAAAAATGTTTTTATTGCTAAATGTAAAGTTATTAATTAATACCCTTTATTTTAGAAACACAGTGATACTCTATTTGCAATAAAAAAAGAAACACCATCACACGTTATTATTCAAGCTTCATTGTTTATGATATTAAGTGAACTTCAAAATACCATAAAAGAAACCGCTGAATCGTTTGGTATTAACTTATGTACTGTATTTTTTAATTCTTTTGAATATCATATTAACTTTTGTTGCTTTTTAGATCCATTTTCACCTTGGACTTCATTACGACATGCTCGTTTAAATACTGATCATGTCCAAACTATTATATTTAGAGACCACAATGATGATGATATCAGTGTTAAAATAAAATTCAATTATGACAATTCATTTGATGTCACTATCATTAGAGGTGCTTCACATCTGATTGTTAAACGTGTACTTAGTAGCTGGAATGAGGTAGAACAACAAATAATTGTCGAAGTTGAAAATCATCGAATTAAAAGTCGGGTTGTTTTGGACAAGAATTCCTACCAAGTTATCATCTTTGATAATGTCAGTAATAAGCATCAACTACATTAATTAATTATATAATTATTCTCATTTACATGAATATTAATTATATAGGAAGAAGGTAAAATGGTTTTAGAAGTTCCAGAGCTTATTCAAGTTAAAACCAAATCTGCTGATGCAACTGGTTTTATCAGAACTCCCATGCCATGCAAGATATCTCAGGTATATAATTATAAATGTATCATTATAAACATTAAACATTAAATCATCATATAATTTTGCAGGTTCTTGTGAAACCAGGACAAATTGTTGAAAAAGGAACTCCTTTAATAGTATTAGAAGCTATGAAAATGGAGGTAAAGTATTTTATAAATATTTTATGATTTAAAATTGTAATAATTGAATTAATTTTTATTTTACATTATTATAATAAAAAAGCATTGGATTAGATCACCATTTTCTGGTACTATTGATAAAATATTTTATAATGTTAATGAATTTGCTAAAGAAAATAGGGATTTGATTTATATTATATCTGAAAATATTTAGTAGAAGAATAATATCTTTAATTTTGTTAGATAAAATATTTATCAATAATTAATAAATCTATTTAGATAATTATATAATATTAAAAAGTAATTATTTAATGCTTAATTTTTACATTATATAATTATATAAAAATGAAATACAATCATCTTTCTTTATAGTCACATCCCTTAAAATCAAAAATAAAAATTGTGATGATAATAAAAAGTGATTATATAGGAAATTTTCATATATTATTATTAAGTATTAATTCAGAAAGAATGTGATTATAAAATATTATGAATATTATAAAGGGGTTTTTTTATATAGCATTAATAGATATTTATTCTTACAAAATGTGTATTTATAATGAAAGATTTATATAATGTGATTGTACAAGGAGTAACTATAAAGAAAAATAACTGTATTACTAAAACAATTAAAAAAATTTTAATATATTAATTTTTATATATAGTTTAAATAAAATAATAATAATAAATATATAAAATTATTAATCATTTTTATATTTATAAAATTGATAAAATAAAAAAATCAATCTTTACTTTAAATATAAAATATCAATTAAAATGAATTTAATTAATTGATATTAATTAATTTAATTATTAATAAGATAGTTAAATTGATTTTAAATAAAATAAAACCAAATATTTTATAATAAAATTATTTTTTTATTTTATTTTTTAAAATATAAATTTAATTTTTGAATAAATAACTTATAATTATTTTTTTCTTTTTAATAAAATTTTATTTTATTTTTTATAAATATAATATATAAGATATTAATTTAATAAATATATACAGTCAACTCTTGCTATAACAAACTCTATGTCCTAGATCTCAACTTAACTATAAAGTTATAGTGAAGATTTTAAGAGATTTAATTGGCCAATTCATTATAACAAGAGTAATTTTATTATATTTGTTCAAAAATTCGTTATATCAAGAGTTCGCAATATCAAGAATTGACTGTAAATATTATATTAATAATATATAAAAGAATTTTTAGAAAAATCAGATTTTGTAAAATTTTTGACTAAAATTAAGAGTTTAATGCATTTTAATCTAATAATATTTAAAACTAAAATATAAAAAAATCTCAATTTTATTAAAAAATTCTCAGAACTTAATTTTCTAATAATCAATATATATATGGGGGCTAAG